TCGCGATAAAACGAATAGCTTTTAGATCGATGAAATTGCCAAAAATATTATCAAGAATTTTATCAAATTATCGATGGACTTGTAAATGTCGAGAGATATACAAGTATGATACAAGTATTTTTTATTTTTTTAAATCGAATTTTATTTTTATCCAACAGATTTTACCGCGTGCGCGCGATAATATTGCGAATTGAGAGAGAGACTAGATTCTCAACAACAAAATTTTAATAAAGTAATCGGAAATTTTGTATCGTCAAATTTACCAATTATCAACATAGCTCGATGAAATCGCCAAAAAATATCAGGAATTTTATCAAATTATCAAACTTATAAATACCGGGAAATGTATTTTCACGCGACTTTAATGACTCAATTGACGAGAGTGAATATTTAATAGCTCTACATTAAAATAAATTAATTATTAATTAATAAAGGATATATAAGAATATCTTTCATTTTATTTGTAAATTAATTTTTATTTTTTCCAAGGAGTGTTTTATAGCAGATTCTCAACAAAAAATTTTAATGGAACAACTGGAAATTTTGTATTATCAAATTTACTGATCGCGCGGTGTCTTTCTTAATAAAGACGTTCACGCTCAGCGAATAACGAAATATGCATTAGCGCGATGCGCTCTAATTGCCGGAAGATATAAAATGGATCCTGATAACGGAATATCGACTAAAGTCGATATCTCGGAGCAGGCCCGGCGCTTTTGGAGTAATTAGCCTGGCGTCACCGGTAAGAGAACTTGAAAATAGTCTAGACTAAATCTCCCACTTTATAATCAATACCGTGCAAATAGCCGAAGGACTTTTCGACTTATTCTATATTTCTTCTCTCTTTCTCTCTCTCTCTCTCTCTTCCTATTGAGAACTTGAAAATAGTCTAGACTAAATCTCCCACTTTATAATCAATACCGTGCAAATAGCCAAAGGACTTTTCGACTTATTCTATATTTCTTCTCTCTCTCTCTCTCTCTCTCTCTCTCTCTCTCTTCCTGTTCCTCAATTATGGCACGTTTTATCAACGATGATAAGCGCGTTCAAACTCATTAGAATTTTGTCTATAACTTTACTAGATCCGGTAACACGTCTTGAGATAGATATCATTATTCTCCTATCATAAGTTTGCGCATCGTTCGGGCAGTTATTGACATCCCTATCTCTACATTTTGTTATTAAACTTTGAAATACACATTTTTCGGATCGAACAATGTGAAAAAAATAATACAATTCTTGTAAAATAACACGGCCTGCGAAATCTTACTTATCAAACTCGTCTCGTGTTAAACTTCCGATAATTATCTAGGGAAAACAGGAATATCCTTGTTAATTTCTGAGAGGAGAGAGAGAGGAAGAGAATTTGACATTTATATTATGTATCTGTTATACCACTGAAAAAAAATAAGCTGTTATATAACCAACACGTAACCAACGAGATGACGAATCGAAGTAGTGATTCACATTACTTTAACGATGAAACTGTCGAGAAGTCACTCAAACTCTTGGAATAAGGGTATAAAGTCCGGGGTGGCTCGCGATAGGGGCAAGGATCCTGATTAGCGTGCGACGGTTCAAAAACTTTTACTCCCGAGAGTCTGCGGAAGTCGTCAGTGTAACAGTGAGCGGGAGAAGCTCAAGTTTGCAAAAGAAGAAATCCTTTTGTGGGATTGGCTCCATGCCAGACATACCGCATATATTTTTCGATTATTACAAGATATTATAGTATTTAACCAGTTAATCAAAATATCAACGCTATGGAAAATAATATTTAATAACATATTTAAAAAAAGACGCTGTTATAATAATTCTCTCTCTCTTTCTGTTTTTGATATGATAGTAATGTTAACATTAATAATAATAATAATTATTATTATTATTAATGTTAACATTACTATCATATCAAAAACAGAAAGAGAGAGAGAATTATTATAACAGCGTCTTTTTTTAAATATGTTATTAAATATTATTTTCCATAGCGTTCTTTATAATCAATACCGTGCAAATAGCCGAAGGACTTTTCGACTTATTCTATATTTCTTCTCTCTTTCTCTCTCTCTCTCTCTCTTCCTATTCCTCAATTATGGCACGTTTTATCAACGATGATAAGCGCGTTCAAACTCATTAGAATTTTGTCTATAACTTTACTAGATCCGGTAACACGTCTTGAGATAGATATCATTATTCTCCTATCATAAGTTTGCGCATCGTTCGGGCAGTTATTGACATCCCTATCTCTACATTTTGTTATTAAACTTTGAAATACACATTTTTCGGATCGAACAATGTGAAAAAAATAATACAATTCTTGTAAAATAACACGGCCTGCGAAATCTTACTTATCAAACTCGTCTCGTGTTAAACTTCCGATAATTATCTAGGGAAAACAGGAATATCCTTGTTAATTTCTGAGAGCGGGAGCGGAATATTTTTAGCAATCGCGACGAGAGATGCGAGACGCTTTCGCAATTTTCTCATTAATTGGCGGATTTGGGGGCGAGATTGAAGCCGTCGGCGAAGAAGCGTAATAAATGATTTAGCTTGCAACGGTGACGTAACCATCATCTTATCAATTTCACTATACGTTGCTATATTTTTAATATTAAAAATTAATTATTGCTATTATATAGTTTAAGCTGAAAAAACCTATTAAAGAGATATGGAAAAAATGATAGCATGCGATGCGACTACAAATGTGGAAGAATCGAATGTTTATATTTTTAAAATTTCTTACAGAGCAGATTTTTGTGAATGAGAACATTTTATAATTAGATATTAATTTGATAAACCTCTTTTAAAACTACTACACCATATTTGATGTTTTTTAACAAATAATTTTGCGTCAATCATGATGTTGCGAATAATTATTGGCATGCGATCATACCATGTTCTTTGTCAATATTGCAACGTAACGTTGAAAACAAACAGATCTTTTTTCAGTTATATTTTGTTTTTGGTCTGATCCAATGGACGTTACATTGCGAAGATTAACGTTTGAAAATACGAAAGTTTTACGCACTGTAACATACGAGTACAAACTGCAACACGAGTAACGTTCCCGTGCAGTTTTTTATTTACTTGTACTTTTTCATATGATCAAAATTGCGCGGTGTATTAAAACAATTACGCGTTTGAAGTTTATATATTTAATCCATGTGATATTTTTTTTTATCACATCGAATATCTCTCTGTACTCGAGATAAAAATTTATAAGATTTGTTAATTTGTGGAAAAACTGTCTTATTACTCGGTGAAGAATGATGACAAGAAAAATAAAAATAAAAATGTGCAACCAACAACTGCAAAGAAGAGACTAAAAACAGTTTGAACGTGAGACGTGCCGGGGAAAAAGAGGCATGCCTTTTGCCGATAGCATCATTTTTCCCGCTTATACGCCAACGACGTGTTCGCCGGATGATGGATCGAACAAAATGGATTCGTGACGTTTCCCAGGTAGTAGGGATGACGCAAGTGTATTTTTCTTATGTGTGCGATATGTCAAGAGCTTTATATTCCATTTATTTAGTCGCAAATTTTGATAGAACATCGACAAACTATATAATAACTATTACAGAATTGAATATTGATTAAATTTACAATAATTAAACGGTTGCCTTTGACAATTATATATTATATTGAAACTTCTATACACCTATATATTTGATTGGAGGTTCAGGACACGATATATAAAAACTGTCTAGATAATGCCGAACGCAGTAAGTTAGCGATCAGTCACTTAGTTTATTACTCTTCGCTTAGTATTTGCCAATCTCGTCCGCTATTATCTTACGTCGAGCTAAAATGTCACATAAAGATAGATTGCAAAATAATGATCTACAGTCGATCAAAGATTGGCACTATAAAAACAGATACGCGCAGATTCTGGCGCAGGTATATCGCGAATAAAGATCTGGCATTTTTTTTTTTATTATGAGGAGTACAGAATTTTTCACACGCGGGAAAAAGGGTGGCAGAAACATAAAGGGGATTTCGCAGCCGGTGTGTGCAGAACAAAAAAATAGTACGATTCCGAATTGTAGAGGGAACTCACCCGCGCGCTATGGCAGAATTATGTCACTGTTATTCCTGGCATACGTAAGCCGACTGCATACATGTGAGTAAAATAAAAAGTTCGCGACAACATGTGTTTAAAGCATGTGTCGGACAGTTATGTTGCGTGAAACGCTTACTAACGAACCGTCGGCTTAAAATCCGCAAAATTTGAGATCATTCATACCGGTCTAAAAAAAATTTTAGCGACTCTAATCTCGCGAAATTGCAGATTATTGCGGAGAAAAGTTTTATGAACCATTTATCATCACGAGTTACGGAAAACTGTTTAGCGATTTCGATGATCTCATTCCTTGAGCATGTACTTGTGTCTGTTTGTGTGCATTTGTGCGTGTGTCTGCGTGTATGTGTGTATATGTTATACGTTAATTAGCGTCATTCGAACACGGACACGTTATCAGGCTACTCGTAGCGATCTTCTGATAACTTGGAAATAATTTTCTGATCAAGCGACTTTGAGTTTGAAGCGAACTCGAAAAAGTTTCATAAAACGAGATCTAAAATTTCTCGATAGAGAGGCAGCAACTCAATAAGCGAAGGTTGAATGAGCTTTCTCTCTTTCTCTCTCATTTTCGAGTCAAACGAGTTTTCCACTTCAGGCGGAGAAACGAAAAGGTTTTCGTTTAAAATGCCATGAGTCTTAATTCAATTTATTTCTCGTCCTAAACTTGTCTAGAGCGTGTAACGTTTTTGATCCACTGGAAATGTCGATTTCTGACGATACGAATGGTTGAGTATCTCTCATTTCGAATGGCAAAAAGTTTTCACCGAAACCTTTTTTCCTATATATATACATCAAATTTCTCGCAATTTTTTAGTGATATATTATTATAAATAGCTATTATCATATTTTTGTAATAAATTTGAAAATTTATTAATTTGAAAATTTGAAAGATCAACTTTATATCTCGGGAAATTTAACTTACGTCTATCGATGAAACGAAATACTCCGGAGAAGCCGGTGGCATTAGATGATGGGCTCTCAGTGTGAAACTCCAGAATAAGCCTCGATCTTGAGCTGTAAAGGACTTGCGGGATGTCACGCAGCTCTCCGCAAAGCACGCCAGACCAAGGAGTGTACTCGGAAACGCCCTTGCCTTCCAGATGTAAAAATAGCTTCAAATAATCACCCCTGGAACAACTAAAAAACGCGAAAATTTTTAGATATATATCATTAGTTTGAACAATGTATAACGATAAATAAAATGATTAATCGAGCAGGTGGTTTTGACTGCTCGGCACAAATTGATACGAATTTGTCGCGTCGTGCGAACAAGTGCGCGATCAAATTCGATACAGAGTTTAATGAGATATCCCCGCTAAATTTGCACGCTAATATGTTCAAGATCCTACGTAGTTCGCATAATACGCGCGGAGTAAACTAATTGACTAATTACACTCGGTATGTTGAAATGGAACAGGTGTTCGCAAGTCCCACTGTACACAGATTATCGCAGTTCACCGTGCTTCGGGAACGTCTGCGATCCTGTGACTTAAAGCGAATACAATGCCGAAATTAGCGCGGCTTATGGCAAAGCCGAGAAGTTCATGCCCAGCGGTTTGCGCCGACTCGCAAAAACAATTGGTCGCTCGCAAATTAATTTGAGAATTCGTAGAAATCCTCTCCCTCGGACGAAACTGCTTTCACCCGCTATTGGCTTATCGATGCTTCGACATGATTAATGTCGAAATTGCTCCCTTAAAGTTTTGCCGTGTATTTTCGCGGTGAGCTCGAGCCTGTTTTACTCGACAAGGCGCGCGAAGCCATTAAATCGAAATTATTTACGGGCAGCGGGGGCGACGAGAGTGCGTTAATTACATCGTGCTACAAGTTCGGTTAGAAATTCACCGAGATATCTTAATGATCCCGTTACGCAACCTATTTATCACAATCGCGAGACAGGCCCTAATTAATCGGCAGGATACTCCATCTGTCGCGATATTTTCCGCCCAAAGCTCGCGATAAAAGAAATTAATTTCATGCGTACGAATTTCTTCCCGGAGGACGTAAAAAAATTTTTCGCTAACAAATAATTTATCAGTACACATACGCAATTTGTCATCGTTAGCCGACGGGCTATCGTCGGGAAAAGATGTCCCAGGGGCAGCCCTGGGGAATAACGGGGCTGCGGGCGAATACGAAACCCGCGGGTGACCGCGCGTATCGACCGCGAGAGGTCCGCCACCATCCTGGCCTGGTATATTAATTTCTCACCTTAATTTCCCAAACGTATTTCCGTCGACGCCTCGGATCTTACGATTCCCGCACGGCCGCGTAAGATACGAGCGTGTCTGCGGCGGTTAACGTTTGACGTCGTTAACCGGAGCAAGGGAAGGGACGAGAGGGAGAGGCGGTCCTCGGTAACATCGCGCCTCTACTGTGTCAGGTAATGAGATAGGGATAGACGGATGTTAGGGTTTGCAACGGCGGTCCTCGCTTGGTCCTTCGACGGGTCCCTGATGACTAAATTCGCGAAAGCTCCCGTTGGTCCAACGAAGATAGGGGGCCAACATCAGGAGTGAAATTACATACCCTTCTAAAGAGTGTTTGTGCTTGAGTGATGGATGCGCGATGTCTAAGAGAACGGTACATTAACGTTGAGACGCGAATCAACAATGCACTTAACATATTCTCGTGCAATATTGTTTTAGTCAGAGACTGAATACTAAAGTAATTTCGCTAGCTATTGTATGCCGGTATCGTGGCATTTCCACCCTTATATAAAACCGCGATGCTCGTTTAATTATACCGGGTATCGGACGTCAAATAAATTTTCATAATATTGGTGTACCGGTGTATAATACCGGAGTATTACCGCTATTATATTTTTGAATAGTATTAGAACGGAAGTTAATAACGACTTTTCTTTTATAATATATATGTGATATTAATATTAATGATGCTATTATAAAATCAAATATTAAACAAAAAGATTAAAAGATAAATATTATAAAGAAATATAAAGAGCGTAAAGCGCAGATAAGATTATTTAATTGTATACAATTGTAATTAATTATAAATTCTGGAATTTATATATGTTATTTCTTATTTGTAATTTCTTCTATAAAACACACGCATGAATCAAGAATATCTATATACAAATCTGATTAGTTTAAGATAATAATTTTCTAAAATATTTTGTATAATAATATGGCATTATTGAAAAAAATATGTATATATGTATGTTATAATGGCATTTGTATTAATCGATTTTATTCGATTGGAAAATCGAAAAAATATCTGCATATAACTGCTTTTTATATTAATTTCAATTTTTGATATCAACGGAAGAAGGAAGTTTTAACCTTCTAATATTAACTTTACATAGCCCGGAAATTCGCAAAATATAAGTGGCTCTATAAATCAAGATAGGATACGGAACAACGACAGGAACGATTTAGCAAGAGGGGCAGAAAAGAAGGGAAAAGAGCAAGATTCAGGAGGGCCGAAACAGATCGGATAGATTCAGATCGAGGGGTGACATTCGCATGGGTCAGAAACCGAGATGTCTATAAAGTTCGACGAATCAAGATTTATGCGAGTCTTTCCTGAGATTCGTATATATATATTATACGCGTGAGTATATCATAATACGCTATGTTCGCGTTCTCGAGGGAGATAGAAATATCAACGGTTTGTTTCGCACAGTTTCGAAAAACTCGCTTGTCAAACGGTACACCGAGAAAGGCTGAAGCCATACGTAGAGAGGAGAGAGACCCGTGTAATCCAGGACTACTGCCACTTCAACGTTTGCGTTGCTTTACACCGTTTTGCTGTCGGTTCTCGTGGCGTGACTTTTCCCTCCTCCCCTTCACTCCGCGGTTGGTTGCACTGACTGCCGGTTGCCGCAATTTATTACGGTGGTTCGGGAAACGAGTTTCTCACTTTCCGCGCAATGGTCCAGCGATATTTTCTAAGGTGCGGAGAGAGGAAGGGGAGGAGGGACGCGAAAACGGGAAATCATCATGAACGACCGTGATGGTCGATCGGAGAGAACTCGGCGGAAAAAATAAATCGAACCGCTGATGAATCTGTCGGATCCTTTGGCCACGTTGGACGGTTACGAGTTTTATGAGAGAAAAGCGGATGACGGTGAAATATGGCTGATTCTTTTCCGCCTTTCCCCGCCCTCCCCTTACCTATTTTTTTTTTCATCGTACGTCAAAAAGTCGAAACGTGGTTGAAATTTTATTATGACCGAAACCTGTATGGTTGTGGTGCCACGCACGCGCGATATTAATGGAGAGAGCTTCCCGTTAATATTAGAATGTACAGCGGGTTTCGCACAGTTACCTCTTCGCCCCCCCCCCCCATTGCATTATTCGTACATACATATATCAAAATGTCGAAATGCGGTAAAGCGGAGGAGAAGCGCTTACCTTCGTATATAACGATTGAGTCGTGGTTTCCACATAATTTCACCGAATATATCAGATGAATAGAAACGTTCGCATCGATTCTTTCGTGCTAGCCGCAAACATGGATATGTATAAATAAATGAATGCACGGGGAGTAGAACTCAGGAAAAGTTGAGCAGGAAACTTTACAGACTGCTGTTATACGCGAACGCACCATGATGTGCTATCGACTACCAAAAGAGCGTTCGAAGGTAAACGTATTTCCGAGATAAGACTTGTAAGTTCTTTTATTTTGCGATATATATTTTATATGTAATTTATTTAGACATATCAACTATTTAAATACAGCGATCTATGCGATCGATGTGACGAACACAGTTTTATCGTTGCTCAGGCAGTGGCGACTGCGGTTAGTGCTCGATATTGGCTTACGTTAAATGTACCAGCGGCTATGTGTTGAAGCTAAAGGGTGCAAAGGGAGAGAGGGAGAAGGGGGAGGAGAGAGAGAGGAAGAGAATTTGACATTTATATTATGTATCTGTTATACGGTAAATCATTTTAGTAGCGTGGAGTTTTGTGTCATACATTTTTGTATCATCGGTTATTATTACAGCTATTCTGCGATAAATACAAATTGCAAAAAAACGTATATTACATTTGTTCAGTTCCATTCTTCCAGAAGAGATAGAGACTCAAAGTTAAAAAGCGGTCTCTCCGTCCTGATTTAACTGACGTATGAGTAACTTGACAGATCTGAGGTTAATGTACCATTAGGAGCTGACATTTTGCCGATTTCCGGAACTATATTCCGGTATTGACGTCCCAAAGGTTTTCTCGCGGCCGTCGTATATAACACGCTAACCGTCATGGTTCTCTTACACCGCCTGATCCAATCACGTCGCGTGATTTAATTCGAAATGCATATACCGGAGCGAGGTTACATATACATTATATGTCAAGGGACTTACCCCAAATCTAGCGCCCGCGGCGTTTTACATGTTCAGCCTTATCCTGGCAGTGAGATTAACTAATCGGTCGCGCACAAATACGTATACGTTGTAACTTGTCCCCTCAGTTTCCCCCTCCCCCTCATTCCCTTCCCGAAGAGGGAAGGACTCGAGCTATCAGCATATATATATATCAGAACTTGGTTATCGAAGGGATGTTTTGTTACAAGAAGCATGGGTTTGTTCATATATGACGATTCAATTTCAAATTTTACATGACTCAAATTACAGATACCAAAAAACGATAGAATTGAAAGAAGTAAGTAACGAATCCAATTGATTAACAAACCTGGCGCATAATATTAGGAAAAACTGTACTTAGAGATGTGTTAATTATCTTTTAAACGATAATATTAGAATTTCAAGATCACTTAATCGCATCGTTTTGATCGAGGACTGTTTGTGTAATCTAAGTAACTATATGCTCCGCGCAATCGTTTAATTTTCATCCAGAAAGTTTGTTTTTTAAATCCCTTTAATAAATATTTTTTGCGTTAATATATCATTTATATAAATTTTCAAAAATGTTTACAAAAATTCAAGCGAATACACTTTTGACACGTTGTGTAATTTATTTGATATATTATTTATTTGTGTGTATATACACACACACATACGAACTTTATATTCTCTAACTTCTTTAGTTTTAACATTTTGTTGCATTTTTTACAGAGCGAAGCTTTTGAGTGAAGTTGTTATACCTAGAAATATGTATCTGGGGACGCCTTAAGTATGTACAACATGCTTTTATCTTTGCTTTTTATCGAGCAAAACT